AGAAATGCATGTCAAGTGTTTTATGTGTTATGATATCTTACTTTTATATTTACAGAAAAATGATACATGGGTTTATATAGAGAGAACTATAAGACAAGTAAGCAAAATCTTAACGATTGTTAAAAGTTGAAGGCATCTGGGTATTAAGTCTTCTTTCAGCTTTTTTGTATTTAAAATAATTTTTAAAACAAGAAATTGAAGGGAAAAATAAATACAGTTATAGTTCCTCCTTCTGATGCTCATATTCTTTATTCTCATTCAAACTTAATTTTATCCATATGAATTATCTACCACTTTTTATTGTGTGTGGTAACAGTGCTTTCTAACTGGTCTATGGTGAAGGACTCAATTTTTTAATCTTTCTCCAATTTATCATAGATTGATATTTTTGCCAAATACAATTAGGTACAATAAAAATGAAATAAAATGGTATGCAAAATCCAGGCTCTTTCTTATCTCTGCTAACGAGAAGCTATTAGAATAATCCAAGTGATAAATGATAGTGTTTTGGACCAGGGTAGTGACAGCAAAGTGCTAAGCATGGGTGAGAGTCTAAATATAGTTTGAAGGTACATCTAGTTTGATTTACTGATGGATTGGCTGTAGGATTTACAAGAAAGAGAAAAAAATGAGTCCAAGTTTTTGGGTGCAGTTGCAATTAACTAAGAAAGACTAAGAGAGGAACAGGTTTAGCAGGGAAATGTAAGAACTCAATTATAAGCTTATTATGTGTGAGATGCCCTTTAGGCACTCAAATGGAAATATTAATCCAGAAATTTCATATGTGAGTCTGAAGTTGGAGAGAGGTCCGAGTCAGAGATAGAAATTTGGGAGTCGGCAATCTGTAAAAGGTGTTTTAAGCCTTAAGCCTAGATGACCGATCAATCAATATTAATAAAAGCAGAACATATGTATGACTCATGGTATATACTAAATCTATACTAAGCATTTTTCTAAATATGCGTTAATTTCTTTATTTCATACAATTACATAAAACTGGTATAGTTACCTCCATTTTACAGATGGAAAACCGAGGCCCCAGATCTTGCAAACTGGCTCAGGATTATATGGAGAATATCAAGAGAATGAATATAAATAGAAAAGAGGAGAATTCTGAGTACTGGGTACTGGGGTACATAACAATTAAAATAATTGATGTCAAAAGAAAAAAAAAAAAAAACTAAGTGTAATTACCTGGAAGTCAAGTGAGGAAAGTTTAACAATATGGAAAAGGTAAATATTTGGGGATGAAAAGAAAGAAAGGAAAAACAATGGAAAACCAATAGTGACAGAGAGAATTGCTTTAGTGATGCTCCTGAGTATGCAAAAGGGAAACAACAAATGACCTTACATATTGTAAGCCACAAATGCAGATTTAATGTATCGACTATTTCAAGCAGTTACATATTTGGCATGGCATATATACCATTCTCATAAGGAAAAATTTCTGGTATATTTACTAAAATTACATACATTTAGTAAATTATTGTTAAGTATTGTAAATATGTGCATGAGGGAGGCAGTAAGAACCAAACTAAATCGTATTCTTATATATTTCAAGTAGAAAGATCTCATATATTTCAAATTAAATTATCTAAACATAATTAAGAATTTCTGACAAGCACACTGAATCAGCTAATTTAATGTGCTTAATATGTTTATAAATTCGAAGTATTTAAAATGTCAGAGGCATTTAAAATATTAAACACTCATATTTATCTAATAATTATATAACTTGTTCCTAAACATAACATAGTATAATTAATTCTGTATAATTATGTAGGTAGTAATTATGTAAATATGTAATAGACATGTGTTTGTATGTTATATTTCATGTATCTTATGCATCCTATGATATATTATCTATGTATTCAATACTTTAATATATATCTTCCTGTGGTATAGTCATATATATCAAACTGAGGAAAGTGAAAGTCAGAAGACAAGGCATGGATATGATGGCTGAATATGAATAAGATGAAATTTCTGCCTCAAATTGGAAGCTGGATGCTAAATACTTGCAGAAATATTCTCAAGACTGCAGAACATGTTGAACTGCTTCTTAAACTTCAGCTTTGTCTGCTATATTCATATTGGACCATATCCCGAGCCTTTCATTTACTTTAAAAATTCAGTGTCCCACATTCCATGGGCAACTTTCAAGTTTTAACCATAACCAATTACTTTATAATCTCTTTCATAATGCTTGACGTGAATAGACGATATTCCCTACCCTAATCCAGATTGTAAATATTTTCCTTTAGTTCTGGATTTTATTCAATTTATTATGGCTCTTTGGCTTCTGAAGCCTTTTCCTCTTTTTTTTCCTGCGTCTGACTTCTCATGACAAATTTAGAGTTGATTTATTGTGTGAGGACAAGCTTTTTTTAAGTCGAAAAACACTGAGAAAAAAGGAAGTAGACAGGGAAGAAGTAAGAATATTGTATAGAAAGAGAATATCTATACGATTTAATAACTATGTTAGCAAAGAGTTTAAAACATAGCTGAATAGGAAAATAGAGTCCTATCTGATCACAAGATAGAGGGATATTCCTTGAAAAAAATCATTTTTCTCTTTCACCAAAGTTTAGTCATTTGGTCTTTAATCTTTGTCCTTCTTCAAAGTCACGTGGCAACACTTCTCTCTCTCCTGATGTAGCTGATTCTTGTCCAGCCTTCTCCAGGCAGAGGCAAGGTCCTGTTCTCTTCCCCATATTTTCTTTATAATTTGCAATCAGGCATGAACTTGTTGCTTTTTTCCTCTCATGATGGACCCTTTTGACTGTCAGAAGGTCAGTGTCAGAACCCAGTTTTGAATCATATGTATATATATATATAATGTATTTTATATATATATATGTATTTTATATGTGTGCCTTATACAGATGATATATAATATATATAAAGCACATTACACACACACACACACACACACACACACACACACACACACACACATATATATATATATATATATATATATATATATATATATACAGAGAGAGAGAGAGGAGAGAGTTTTTTTCCTGAAGCCTTGCTACAGTGGGTGAATACTTCTAGAGGAAAATAGATCCCTAATAGAAAAGACAGAAGACTTTCTGAACAGAAAACATGTAAAATATTCATTCCTAGATGTAACCTCAGTACTTTAATAAAAATAAGAAGTAGACACTGGGATAGCTCAGTTTTGCTAAGTTCCTTTAAGGAAAAAAATCAAGCTGTTACACTTGTTTTATGCTTTAATAATTATAGAAATGTTGTTTTTATTTGTATTTCTTGTTTTAAGGTAGCTATCAATAAAACTAAATTTCATGTCAAAGATAGCTTTAAAAAGGGGACAACAATGTACAAAAATGATACCTTAAAAAGATAAATAAATTCTTAGAAATATTCCAATATGTAACAGATGCACATTAGTTAAGACGAATGGTTGAACTTAATGCTGTAGGTTGGGTTAAAACTAACATCTAACAGTATGTTTCTTAAAAGAAACGTGCAAGTAATTTAAAAAGAGATTTAATAATGAAAAATAAACTAAGACAAACTAGGATAAAGATAAAGTAAAAGCAACGATGGCAAACTATATCTCTAAAATTAAATTTTGAGACAGCAGTCCCTTTGATAAAAGGAACAATTAATGGAACAATTCATAGTCACAAACTTCTATGCTGTCTGTTAACGAAGCACCAAATATACAAAATAAGATCCGTTCAAATGTATACAGAATGTGTGAGGGCTACAATTTTTCAGGGTTTAAACATTAATAATTGATTATGCAAGTGAAATAAATTGTTTAAAATATGAGGTTGATGTAAAAATATGCATTCATTTATTCTAAAAATATTTAATGAGGACTTACTATGTGTCAGACATTCTTTCAGATCCAGAGGTTGCTACAGAAAAATGTGTGCCCTCTTGTGATATTTTGTGTGAGTTCTGATCAGAAGGATGAATGATGGAGCCCAAGAGGCCAGGTACAAATTCAAGCTTCTCCTTTCAAAAGCTAGGCAGTCCTCACTCAAATTTCTTGTCATATCTTTTCTTTAGTCTCCTCATCTGAAATGTAGGTGTTTGTGATGGCTAATTGTTTATGCCAACTTGACTGGTTGCAAGACGCTTACATAATTGGTTAGGCATTATTTCCGAGTGTGTCAGTGAGGGTGTTTCTGGAAGGATTGAGCATTTGAATTGGTGGACTGAGTAAAGCCCCCTCCTCAGTGTGAGTGGGCATCATCCAACTTGCTGAGGGCCTGAATAGAACAAAAAGGCAAAGGAAGGGTGAATTCTCCTTCTCTGCCAGACTGTTTCAGCTGAGACATTGGTCTTCTCCTGTCCTTGAACTAGAACTTACACCATCAGAACTCCTGGTTCTCTGCCTTCAGATCTAGGCTGAAATTTATTCCACAAGCTTTCCTGGGTCTCCAGCTTGCAGAGGATGGACTGTAGGAATTTTCTGCCTCCATAATCACATGAGCCAATTCCTTATAATAAATCCCATTCTAGATATAGGTATCTGTATATCTCCTATTTGTTCTTGCTCCCTGGAGAACCCTGATGAGTATTGTTATTTTGAGGATTAGTTTTGTTTTGAAAATTGAATATGTCAGTGTGTGTGAAGTACTCAGAATGATGTCTGGCACAGGCAGATCCTCCACAAATGTGGCTAATACCATTATTATCCCTTCTTTTCACTATACCTATAGTATTTCTGTAAATTGCCCGTATACTAGCCCATCAAATGAACATAAAATTACATAAAACACAACATAAAATTACCTCATTTATATTGTTGCTACATTCAGTTTAACTAGAGATTATTACAAAAGAATTTGAAAAAGATCTTTATAATTGTTCACTGATTAAAGATTTTACAATGCTCCTCTTTCAAATATTTTTATTTTTGAGAGCACCTACAATGCTTAGCACAGGTCTCCATTTTCTATCACTCATAATTACATTTTAATGTTTTCATTATTTCTTTTCTTTTTTTTTAAATTCAGTCCCCTTAGAAACTACCAAAAACTGCCAACGCAGACTCTATTTCAAGTCGTCATGGCGGGGTATTGGGAAGTTTCCAATTAGCAATAATTGCACTTCAGATAAACCTCATTGGCTACGATACTGCCACTGTGCAAAGCTAATGTTTTCATTATCTTAATACTTATCTATTTTTGCTGCCTTACAATACTGACAGGACTTTTTGGCCATGTCCATGTTTGAATTTTCTGCTCCCTACATGCATTTTAGACAAAATATTAAATTTTAAATTCCTTGCAATCTGTTATTCTATGCTTCTCATTTAAACTTAACTAGTTGTCCTTTCACCTTATTCTGATTTCTCTTTAGGGGTCTCTCCTTTTATTTAACAGTCTGGGTATATTTATATTTTATTTGTGATGCTAGTTCATCAATTTCTTTTTTTTAAAATTCCTTAACAAAATATCCTACACAGCTAGTTATCTTCTTCTGAGTCAATAGGATAACTTTATATATTTTTATTCTGTAGTATTTTTCATGCCACCTGTTCATATTTATGGATTCTTGAGTGAGTTTGCTACCCAACTATCACTTTAAATTGACTGTTGATATTAACTTCCAATCACATAGCTATATGATCAGTTCAGATTGAAGGCAAAACCCTGTGATAGACAAAATTACCTTTGTCAGATTGACTCTAGTGATAACGAATGCTTTTATTTTCTTCAAACCATCATAAATTTATTTATATTTTATTAGAGGAAGAGGATCCAGGTAATTTGGCAGGTTAAGTGTTTTTCGGGTACACTGTCATAGTTGTACTGACTTGTAATTTGGGGACCCTAACAGCACTGGAAGCTGAACTGCTTCATGAATACCCTGCAATGCAATAACTGTTTGCTATAAAATAACAGTGCTGTGAAAAATCAACTTCCCCAAACATACAGAGAAAATTAGGAAGTTCACTTGGGGGAAAGACATACAGCCTGAACAGATTTTTTTTTTCCCTCTCTCTTCAAGAGACATCATTTGATCCATTATTTTAGGAATCAAGATTGAAAGTTATCTGAAACCGGTATTTGAAAAAACAGGGGAAAAAAGAAATACGAATCAATTTATGACAAAATAAAATAGAACTATACTAATAGATACTGAGTATTATTTGTACACGAGGTACTTTTCTAATCCCTGCAAAGTAAGCTCTATCGCCCACAATTTGCAGATAAAGAGATTGAGATAGAAACATGTAAGTAAACAATCTTGTCTGAGATAACCATAAAGTAAAAGTCAGAAGTGGTTCTCAAGTGCCTACAGCCTGTCTCAGGTTCTGTGCTATTAAACCGTTCTGATAGAAGGTTCTTAGGAAATTTGTCCTCCTGGCCAGGTAGAAAAAAAAACAACCCAAGTAAAATAACCAGAATAAGCAGACCAAACCCAGAGCTTGAGATCCCCATGTCCCACCAGAAATATGTTTCGTCTGTTCTTCAAGCTACATAGTTTGTCTTTAGAAGTACATTCTAGATCCTTCTACAGTAAAAGTAGTGAACAGACACCTACTGATGTAGGCTACAAAAGACATTTGGTAATTGTGCATTTTAAAAATTTGCGCATGTTTGAAATAGTAAAAAGCCCCTGACGGTATCTTCAGATTTGATCATTCTTGTAAGCATTTTGATGCTTAATAAGCAGAGAACTTCTTACAGAGATTCTTTTGTTCTCTCTCCATTTATCAGAAAAAGATTTTAATGATTTCCTTATATATTGAAAATCTTTTTTTAGAAAACTGTCCATACTAATAAAATCATATAATACCTTGTATATTTCTGGCTTTGCACTATAAAAGATAATATCTTTTTAAAAATCATATGTAGTGCTATATTGCTAACCATACACCATTTTATTTAAAGGCAAATAGACATTCTGAAAGGAGTTGCACATTTACATTTTTTCTCTAGTACATAGACAGCCTATATTGAGAATGTTCTGAGAGTAACAAATAAGCCATTTGGAATTCCAGTATTGACATTATGGGCACTAATGGTTTCTTTGTAGAAATCTTTTTCTAAGATAAAATAATATGATATAATTAAATTACAATAAAATATAATCTAAGAGGATACTTAATTATGTTCCTCTTGTATACCTGACTATGAGAACTGCATTCTGTGTTTCAGCCCCTTAAAATGAAGACTGTTTTAAAGTGCATAGTGTTAGAATATTGAGAACTAGAAATGTTAATGTGTCCAAGAGAGATTAAAGCCTCTTGAGTTCATATGGCATATTAATTTTGGCTTTTCTTCAGCTTTGAATTCCCACTATTTAGTAACTTTGAAATTTCATTTCCTTTTTGGACTATTCTCAACACCACTATGAATCTAATATAGTAAAATTGGGCTACCATCCAAGTGACACAAGCCCCATGCACTGGGGAGACCTGGGAATGGTGGATTCTGCTCCAAGACTGAGATAGAATAGCTCTTTATTTTACAGACCTTTAGTTTATTTTTACTTAACTTTCCTATATTTGACATGAGAGCAACACAGTCTCATGAAAGATGTGAAGCTGAAGGAACAGGGCCAAAGAGGCACATGGAGTTTCTTTTGAGCCAAAGTCCTGTAGATTTACAGGTCTTCCTGATCCACACTTGATCTAATAGAGTGGTTCTCGAAATATGGTTCCTGAATATCACTGTCATCTGGCAAGTACAAATTTTCAAGTCCCAGGCTAGACCTGGGAATGAGTGACACAGTCTGTGTTTTGATAAACCCTTTGGATGAATCTGATGCACGCTGAAGTTTGAAAACCTATAAAGAGTCCATATCACCTTGGTTAAGCCTACACAGGGGTTTAAGTCTATGCAAGTAGAGCAGTACATAGAGTGATTTTTGTTTTTCTGCATTGTTGCTGAGCCATAAATAATCTGCTTGTAAATCTTTGATGGTTGCAATGGGTTTACATTAAAAAATTTGGAGGTTAAAAGTTATGACCATTTTATTTCTGCCTCTCTTTTGTATACAGTTTATTCTCATTACTTACAAATTCCCTCTTTGTGAAGTTGCCTACTTGGTAAAACTTTTTGTAATACAAAAATTAATTTTACGGCTACAAACAGACATATCCAGTGTAGTAAAAAATGTGAATTGTCCAATAAGCACATTTCCAGCTGAGGTCAAAGTGTTGCCTTCTTATTTCAGCTCACAAACAATAAACAAGTGTCCTTTCATTATCTATTTAGTGCCATGCTTTTTACATTTTTTGCTTTTCATTGGTGATTTCACTGCTTAGAATGTGCCCCAAGGATATTGCTAAACTGTGGCCCTTTTCCGTAAACACAAGAAGACAAAAAGAATGTGCCTTATGGAGAAAATACATGTGTTAGCTTAGCTTCATTCTAGAATGAGCCGCAGTCCTGTAGACGTAAGGTCAATTTTGCAAGTCAAAAGTATATATTAAATAAGTTGTCTTTAGACAAAGAGACACAAAAATACAAGGTTATGTATTGCATTGATCAGTTGATAAAAATATTGTAACCAGAGACTTTAGGGACCATAACTTTGTATTTTCCCTAGGAGCAATGGCTCAATATTGACAGATTATGTGTTTGCAGCAAATATATAGAATGTATCAGCCACTAACAATAAAAACCAGTTGTATATAATTTACATTTCTCAGTTATCTGCCAACTTGCAAATATCACAACTCCAACTAATGCTATATTAAGAATATTTTTTACATTGACCTAATCTTGTACTTCCCAACTCATTTTAAGATTGATTTAATGTCTGACTTTCAAACCCTTCTAGGACAATTTGTAATGACTTGTTGAAATCTTGTTTTCCTATAGTATAGTTGCAAATCAGGACAAATTTTATGTTAACTAAATATTTGATTTCAGCAGCATCCAAATATGTTTCTACAATCTGATAAAGAGGAACTTGTTCTAATTCTCATCATGGAGGTACATGTAACAAAGTTAATCTACTCTACGAAAACATGCTTTGGCTGAACTGGAAATTTAGAACTAAAAATGTTAAGGAAATAGATTGATGGGAAAGCAGATTTCATGAATTGACTCAAGCATTAGCAAAATTTTCACTGTCTTGTGTTTTAGATGGAGACGTTCACCATCTTCTGGCCATGTGAACACCTTTGGACCTATAGCTATTTATCTCCATTAGATTACATAAAATAGTATAAAGCACACTATGCTACAGTGCTGTATACAAGTTACATGCTTTTGGAATGCTTTTTCTTATTAACTATTACTATACAAATATATTTTACAGTTTGATCCTTGGGATTTTTTTTCTGGTTTATTTATTTGTTTTTATTCAGACGTATTCTTTTAAAGCATTAGTAAAGACTTTCGAGGGGTGGATACAGAGGTGAACAGCAGAACTTAAGTAGCCAAAATATTTACTCATGTGAAATTATAAATTGTTAATTAACAGAAGCAACTGTCAAAATCATGAGATACTGTTTCCACCAACAATTTATATTGCTAGGGTATGGGGAAAACTCATGTCTGTTAATCATTCAGCTTTAGAAGACAGCCAAGCATTCACATACTGTGCTCAATGGTGAATCTACTAATGCCAATTTCCTTTTTTTCTAATAAACTTCCGAAAAGATGCAAAGCAGTTTAGAAAATCAATTAAATCTCTGGTATTTTAATTTTAATTTTTAAATATAAACTTCTTTGTGAACCATAAGATGAAATATATTTAATAGTAAAAATGAGGAATTAAATGATTTTGGCTAATTTCTTAAATTTTTAATTTTTTTTTTTTTTTTTTTTTTTAGACGGAGTCTTGCTCTGTCACCCAGGCTGGAGTGCAGTGGTGCTATCTTGGCTCAGTGCAAAATCTGCCTCCCGGGTTCAAGTAATTCTCCTGACTCAGCCTCCTGAGTAGCTTGGATTACAGGTGCCAGCCACCAAGCCCAGCTAATTTTTGTATTTTTAGTAGAGACAGGTTTTTACCTTCTTGGCCAAGCTGGTCTTGAACTCCTCACCTTGTGATCCACTCACTGCCTTGGCCTCCCAAAGTGATGGGATTACAGGCATGAGCCACAGACCATATATTAAAGTTCTATCAGAAGTTTAGATAACTTACCTTTTAATCTCAGAATTTCCTTTGGCTTTTATGATTTCATGAGTCAA